TATATGTCTAATAAATAAATAATAGATAGATAGATAGATAGATAGATAGATAGATAGATAGATAGATAGATAGATGATAGATAGATAGAACTTCTGACCATAATTGAGCCCAAAATTTTGATTGCTAAGTAAGAGCATTGTTAAGTGAGTTTCACCACATTTTACAACTTGGCCATGCACACCTGGTCACATGACCACCAAGCCATCCCCCACCAAGCCACGCCCACAGAACCGGTAGGGAACATTTTTAGATTTCACCACTGCCCCAAACTGTATAGCATGTTCACCTCTAATGACTTTGATCATCTGACTAATATATTGCAGGTGTGACAGGAAGACATTTGAAAAGAAATTTCATCATTTTATCTGTTCCTTTTCAAAATGTGAGAAACTCCACGTTCCAAACCACTGATAAATAAGCATAAATACTACTAATTGGGAGTAGTGCCTTTAAACCAGATGCCTATTTTGACATGGCTTCCACTGATAGGCGGAGTTTGCCTGAGTGTTCAAAAGAGGGTTTATGGTCATCCTCCAACTATAATTTAGTCTCCTTCTGAAGCAACTGTGGAAAGCTGATACCTGTCCTGCCTCTTTCAAGGGATAAAGATCAGGATAACCCAGCAAAAACTTGTTCTTTAACATACATCAGGAGGACCTCGACTCCTAAATAGAGGTGGGTGAACCTTTATCTACAAGGATCCATTGACTGTATTTACTGCTTAGGGTGCTATAATTTCCCTTTACCCGTTCTCCGTTTCCCAATCTTTTTTTCCTTGTGGGCATTTGGAGAGCTATCTTGTTTTTATCAAATAACTCAAAGCTCACTAGAGCATTGTGGGGTAACAATTGCATTGTAATAACTCTGAAATATGGGAACTGGGAAAAAATAGTCTGAATAGTAAAACCTGGATTGTGAACTGTTTGGAATTTCCAAATGGTCCACGTAGTTTTGGCAATCCATTACTGACAGTCCTCATTTTTACCATATTCTTCATGAAATTTCCAAAATTTAACATTTGCCTCTAAACATTTTTGCACCAGAGTCTGTGGATTTGGGCTTCCTGGTTATACATTTTATTGTTTAAACCAGAGGCAAAGGATCAAGAAATGAATGTATTCATCCACAGTTTGATTTTTCTAAGAAAAAGCTATTAAGAATGGATTCCTGCTGGCTCTCTGTTTTGATGTCCTGTTGGCTTAACTTTCCTATATTGCCTTGAGCAACAGTTCAGATTAGGAACCTTAACTTTGCCAGGCAATGTACATGCCTGAGTTTTTGAGATTGCTCTCTTGCAAAATGATTACTGAGCATGATCTGTCTCAAAGCATGAATGGATACATGGATGAGGTTGCTCGGCCAGTATGCTGCTTTCATGGGGAGGATAAAACAGGTCAAGCTGCAACGTTTGCCACCTTCCTTATTGAAACCTTTGAGATGCATTTTAAGAAACTTTACATTGCACAACTGATGGCTGTTTTCTTTTTACAGTGCCTGGATGAGACCCACCATGGCACAGGCTTGTCAGCCTTCATTCCTGTTAGCAGTTTTTGCACTCTATATAGGTATGTCACTGCTATTTTCTCCCAACGGGCCTCTACACGAACTCCTTTCCAGTAAGGTTATGGCCACCTTTTGCCAAAACAGCTCAATTATAAAAGTTATGGCATTTTCTGTCACATGGCTTCATCCCTTCTAGAGATTATTTATTTATTATTTATTTATAAAATGTATTGGGCACCCATCTTCCTACAGGGTAACTCTGGGTGGCTTACAATCATAAAAGATATACACTAAAAACAAGACCAACAAGTGCTACAATCCAGTTATAGATGGGAAGAGTGGGGGCAGGGTGGGATCTCTTGTTAATGAAACACAGTGATGCTTCTGCATTGGAGGCCCAGGTCAACTGGCAGAGCCATGTCTTTAGGCCCTTACAAAAGGATAGGAGGGCTGGGGCCAGCATGGCGGTCCGGGGGGTGGTGGTGGAGATTTTCCAGAGGGCAAGAGCAGAGAAGGGCCTCCTCCTGGAACCCAACAGCCAGAATAATCTGGCTGTCGGGACCTGCAGCATGCCTCCTCCCCTAGTCTGGAAAGGATAGGCCAATCCCAGTGGGATGACTGGACCCATGCCATGAAGAGCTTTTAAGGTGATTACCAGAGGTGGGTTGCTCTTGGTTCGGATGGATTTGGGAGAACCGGTAGTGATAATTGGGACTGGGTCACTAAACCGGTAGTGATGGCTGACTGGCCACACCCCGAACTGGCTCGCTCCGACTCTCTCCCTGTCTCGTCTTTGCCATATGCATCCGCACAACTGCCTCCTAGTGCCTACACACAGGTAAGCAGCATGGGCTGCTCAGGGAGTTTTGCAACCACTGCCTCCTAAGTGGGATTGAGCCTCCCTGCTTCCTCGATGCATGGAGGCAGGAGGCGTCAGTTTTGTTTGCTGCCTACAAGCTCCGGGGGTGGGGGGTGGGGAGCAGCCAAGTGAAGATGCCAGGATCTGCCGTCTGCCTCTAATCTGTAGTTTACTCATGAGCAAGTTTACTCGTGAACAGGGTGCTTGGCAGCAGGCAGATGGTTTGCTTGGTTGCTCGGCTGCTGCCCCCCGCCCCCCCGAGCTCACAGGCAATGAACAAAACCACGCACTCTTTGGACCATCCAGCTTTCCTGCATTCAACTCGGCACAGCTCCAGTTGCTGCTTTATTTAAAAAAAAGTTTTACAGCATATTTCATTTCCCATCTCCAATCTGAAACATAAATTTGCCAAGCCACATCCACAAAATAAGCCACGCCCACAGAACCGGTAGTAAAAAAAATTTGAAACCCACCTTTGGTGATCACCAACACATTGGATTGCACCCGGAAGTAGACTAGCAGCCAATGCATTATGTTTAAATGCCTGAAACTGATATCTGGTCATTGTCTCATGCAGTTCCACTGGCTGCAAATTCTTGCAAGAAGGCAAATTTTTCCAGGAAGAAGATATTTCTACAGCTGTCTGTGTGTTTTCCCCAAATGTTCTCCTCACTGCAGCTTTTAAATTTAAATTTAAGGCAGTTCTTAGGCTAATAACAAAATGATTTGAATATATTTCTTGTTGGACTTTTGATTCCACTTAGACTTTCTCTTCTGGATATTTATTCAAAGAATTTCTCATCAGCTTTTCCTAACGTAGATCCCTATAGGTGTGCTAAGATTGGAAATCCCAGTAACCCAGCCTTCTAACTGGAGGCCAGGAGTTTTGTCTCTTGAAATCCTCATTTGTGTTGGGGATGGCGTGACTCTCAGCTCCAGGGCTGAGTTGGGCCCCTTCTGTCCCCATGGCTGGGGCTCTGCCACAGACTTCTCCGCCAAGCTCTGTGAGGCCCTTTGAATCTGTCTTTCTTGCAAAGCTTCAAAGTCTGCAGAGGAGCAGTTTGCTTGTGTATACTTAGTCAGTTTTCACTGATGGATGGAATACAACATTTCTTGGGAATTTCTTATACATTTAAATCACAAAACAGCTGATCCCCTTCTTGTCCTGTTGCCCCCGCTCCCCATCTCCTCCACCCAGTACAACACAGAAGCAAAAGAATGCTGGTAAGCAGAAGGCACAGCATAAGTAGATTTCCTCGGGCACGTATATTTGGGGGAAATTGTGCAGTTCGCAGGTGAGCTGATCTTTATTTTCTGACATGTCCAGTCACAAGGATGTGAGTCACAGTGTCCACTTGAAAACTCTTCCTAGTTGGGGAAATGAGAATTGGGGCTAAGTGGTCTGACTGGAAAAAGCCAAGGGCCCTTTCTAATGGCCTCCTCCTTGTTTTGCAGCCTTCTTCATAGCCAGAGTTGAAGGTGCATCGGTAAGTTGCTTGTCTCTTTTGACACAGTGAAGGTGCGGTCCTGCTCTTGCCAAAATTTGCAAGATGGTGGATTGAGCATTGTGATTGGTCTTTTGCATGCAACGCCTGCAAAAGATTAATTTCCTCCTTTGAGTGTCCTAGGAAAGAAGCTGTCACGGAATGATAAGGACACAGGTTTTCACCCATTTGTTGCATACTGTAGTACATATCCTGGTTCCATAGTTGTGGAGCTTCAAATTTTGAGTTACTTTGTAATTCTCTTAAAGAAAAAAATGGCAAAAATTAACTTAGCTGCCTGACTCTTAACTATGAAAGATTCCTGGCAGGGGCGTGAATCACAAAAGGAGAAACAGCTTAACAAGGAGAGAAATGGTAGAGAATGGATGCCAAACATTTTTAAGCAAGGCTCCTATGTTTATAAATATTCTCCCTGTCAGTTGTAAAGACTTGTATTAGCTTTATGGCAATGTTACAAATCTGCAGAAATAAAGACTAGATTAGTTTTTTAAAGTTAAAATTTTATGATTCTTTATCATAGTTTGCAATAAACTCTTGCATCACGATTGTGAATTCACTGACATTTGAAGGATTCAACATTAATTGCACTTTTATACTTTTGTTTGTTTTAGTGTCCCGCTGCCAGGATTAATGGTACGTAATATATTGCAATGCTTGGGGTTTGGCATTCTCCTAACAATCTCTTTTTGGGGAGAAGCCTGCTAATTTTTTCTTTGTTTTTTTTTTTTTTTTGCTTTTATTTTTGCAGCTTCCGAAGTTTGTGAAGATATAGAGAGGTATTTTTATAAACCAATTAATAAATTCCGGATGCTGGGAAGATTCTGAACAAAAGTGAAATTAGCATAAAAGGGTATTACCTTGTCCACATTCAGGACTAACATTCTATTTTTTTCTTGAGTTTTGAACAATATTTTATTCTGCAAAAATGTCACTGTTTATTGCCATATTGCCAAAAAGTTTGGTTTCTTGATTTCTATAGATCACATAAGGAGCATTGGGAACTCGAGCTGCTACATAATATGGCAGTTTGCAGAATGGAGTGGGGAGTAGGGAAGCAAGGGGTTAGCTGCAAGGAAGACAATATTTTTGAGTGGATTTTTTGCAAGCTAAAATGAAGGATGGGATAGATCCGTGTTCTGCAATCCTCTAACTGATTGAGCATTGCGGGACTGTACTCCCAATGCATCTGGAGGGAGCTACACTATATTACGTAACATTTGCACATCTTTCTGCCTTGTATCTTCCTTTTGGGTGATAACAAAACCTGTCAACAACCATAGAATAAAAGAAGACATGATTGTGGAAAAGCTCTGAAACTGTAAGGGAAACTCAGATTGCATCCAAAAGGAGTATAAAAATGGAAAGGGAGAATATTTTTTTCTAATCCAATAAGGAATAAACAGTTAGCACAAAGTTAATAATGGAAAAAAAGAATCCATCAAAACTTGAAAATTCTTTGGAAAATATTAAATATTTTTGGTGGGATGGGGTCTTTTTAAGGATGTGGGTGGCTTGTATACATGTCAGTTGCTTCAAAAATGGCCCAGGTTTATTGAATGTGTGGAATTAGGATGGCTTTCGCTACATTCTTGGGAGCCCTTTCTGGCATTGTCCCTCTATGCCTGTCTTTTCCCCCCTTTTCTTACAGAATTGATGTCAAAATATCTGCCAACCTTACTCATCTCGTTTGTGACAACGTAAGTTCTCCATGTGCTTGCCTTACAGCCTGATTTGATTAAGTAGAGTAAGATAAGGCTGCTCCAGGATTTTAATGAGAATGCTGGTTGTGTGCTCAGTTCACAAGAGCGTTATGCTTTCAAGAAGCTCTTTTGGGATTTGCAAGATCCTTGATCCAGGGCTAAGAAGGTGCTGCTGGAGGAAGGCTTTGCTGGTCTTTCATCAGCTAGGAGAGGTCAGGCCAGACTTGGCCAGCCCAACACCTTCTCCGGTGTCTACTGTTAGGAACCCTGGTCTTGGTGGGGGTGGGGATGGCACTTGAGGAAAACTGGACTATACAGAGTACGGATTTAGAAGAGGGGGCCTCAAACACAAGTCATAAGGAGTCTACTTGTTTTGAGTTTGATATTTCCTCACTACTTTGGTGATTTTGGGGTGGATGGCTTAAGACCGTCAAGATGACACTTATGACTGTACAGTCAAAATTCCATGCCTTTTTCATGTGCACTGCAACATAAAGATGTCAGCCCTGTACACAACTAGTGGCTAAAATCAAACCAAGCCATCCTTGTTAAAGAAGTAAAAATACAATTGTTGCATCATTGGTTGGAGGGATTACGTTAGGACAGTGTTCCCCAACCTTTCCAGCTTGATGGGCCAGTGTAGTGTGGGGATGTAAGTGGCAGGTGCACGTGTGCATGCACAACTCTGTGTGGCACTCGCACGCGAGCAGAGGGGGTTTGAGGAGAAGGGGCTTGTGCTTGTGCGTCAAGCTCCACTCTCACACATAAACTTTCTGAGCGCAAGGCCCCGCCGCTTGTGTGAATGGAGCTTCACGTACACGTGCTTCCTCATTTTTCCTGTTGCCCAGTTTCGAACAGGCTGTGGCCTGGGGGTTGGAGACCCCTCCCACTTTATGAGAAAGTCTGTCCAATTTTATTCATGAAGATTTCAGAAAAGGAAAAGGACATCTGTTAATCCATCAATATCTTGACAGGCAGCTAGATGAAAAAGTTGGCTTTAGTGTCTAATTCTCTGCCACTTTGCTGTACTGTGTCATATCAAACTGCTTTTGTTCACCAATACTGATACTTTTTTAATCCTCTCTCCCTAGCTTCAGAATCTCAGTCATGTTAATAGTACCTTTATAATTCAAGCCTTGGAATTCACCCTGAGGAAAAAATATGACCTTCCACCCAATATAGTGAGAGTTCTTCTAAATCAAGTAAATGGGGAAGAGCTGATCAATGCCCTGGAGAAATTTAATGAAAAGGTAAAAAAAAACCTACTGTTAAAATAGAAAGTATTCTTTCTCTGTGTTCATCACTACTTCAAGTAAAGATACAATGCCTGCATTCACACAATATGTGATTATTGCTTATGGTGTGATAGGCGAGAGCCAGTTTGTGTTGTGGCTAGAAGCTTGGAGAACTTTGTGCTCCAGTCCCATTTTAGGGATGAGGCCAGTAACACTCACTCAGTGGCATGAAGGAAGCCATGGCAAAGCTTGCCCTAAAGAAAACTGCAGGAGGGTGCAGACAGTTGCCAAGAGCCATTACTGACTTGAAGGCACAAAAAGGGGAAGGGAAGGTGAAGATAGGACTACTGTTTGTAGGCATCTTATATAAGGAGGGCCTGTTTGGTTAAATTCTTAGTTGACTGATAAGCTTTATTCTTGATACCCTCCAGATAGATACAGCTCACATAATTCTCAACCAAAATAATACAAAAAGAATTAAATAAATAGGCGGAAACTTAATTTTCTGTGTATAAGAGAAGAAATGGACTATCTCAAAACTGCAAATGTAAAGCAGATTCATGTTTCAGTATTAGGCTTATTTGGGAAAAGGGCAGTTAGTCCTTTAGTTCTACAGTCAGAGAAAGGGAGTTCAGGCAACTCCCAGAGCCTTACTAAATTCACTCATAAATGAGAGCAGGAATTTTGCTTATTCCATTCCCAAGATTCTGTATCCTACTTCCTTATTTCTTGATAGTGAGCAATAAATCCTACTCTGCTGTTAGGGAAGCAGTTTGTGAGTTTACTAATGAATGATGGATAAGGAACCGATAAAGCTCCCTGTGCTTCATGGAAGTGAGGGCAGCCTTCTACAAATAGCCCATGTGGCCTGGGTCTAAGAGGAGTTTCCCTCCAATGCATCTGGGAGGTCCAGAATGCTTAGGAGCGTGTTATTTGATTGGCTTCATCTTTATGAGGTCTTGTACGTTTATTCTTCACCCTCTGATATTTCCAGTGGGATATTCCAGTTAGGGCTGCTGACCTGCAGGGTAGACAATCCCATGTATCTACAGCAAGGGGCAGGTGAAGGGCCCACGGTGGTGCTGCTGCTTCTCACATAAGCCAAGCTCCTGGTCCCAGGCTTTCTTCTACAGCCTCTCGCAATTTGGGCTCCACACCTGCCTACTCCAGTTGCCAAATTGCGAATCCCATGACTGCCACTTATTTTTCAGGCTTGTGAAAGAAATGAGAAGGAAAAGGTGAAAGAAGGTGTTAATTTAATTATCCCATTTATCATACTTCCCACTCATGCCACCTCTTTTGGGGACTGCCGTGATGTGGGGAGAATTTAGAGAACTTATGACTAAAGAATTGCCTTCCTGCTTCTCTGATAGTCTTTGTAGCCATTTGCCCAGTGGGCTTCCAAAATTTGAAATAAGATGAGGTTCTTTAGCTAACAGGTAATAGTTAACAGGTAGTTAGACAGGTTAACTGGGCAATGCCCCACTCATAGGTGAACTGCTGCACCTGATCTGTGGGCATCATCTGGGTAGTGTACATCCACTATCTTGTCTCTTCTCTCAAGGAGAACAGTTGCCAGGGATTTTTCCCCCCACAAGGGGACTCTGGCAGTTGCTTTCCTGAAGTTGTTTCACATTAGATGCGAAAGGCGCTGAGTGAGATGGAACTGGCTTGGCAAGAAGTGCTGGAAGACTTTCGGTTGCCTCAAGGGGACTTTGGTCATGAATGAGAGGAAGGCCTCCTCAACTTCCAACTATTCTCAATGTTCTCTGAGTTCACTATTCATTAAAACTCTATCCCCACCATATTGCATGTTCCGTTTTTGTGCTGTGTGTTCCATTTTCCCCTTAGGCTGCAATTTCTCTGCAACTCTTATTTCTCCTCCCCAGATTGTGAACTCTTCCCTAATTTCCAATCAAGCGAAAACTACCATAATGCAAGCTTTGTGGGATGAGAAGCTAAGAAACGAAGATCGTTTCAATGAGACCGCCTTTGTGACTTCCTGGTTCCAGAAAAGACTTTGCCTTTTTATCTCGGGAATTTCACCAGAGATACTCCAGTGTCTTCACAATGAGACCATGCAGTGTGAGCAATACCAGGCAATGTATGTGATGGGACTATTAATCTTTTGTTCAGTTGTGACTGTTCAGTTATTCCCAGGATAGCATAATACCTGCTAGCATGTCTACCGGAGAGGAATATTGTCAATTCTCAAACTTCACTTATTTTGAAATTTTAATTTTCTTATAGCCAGCAAATAGCTGTCTGACTATTAGGTGTATAGAAATATTTATATGCAAATGTTTCATTTTAGCCCCAGCATTAACTTTCTAACTCTACAAAGACAGTGTTGAATTACATATGTGGGTGCAGTAGTTTTCAACAACAACTTGCTTCAGTTCAGGCCATGTGTACATCTGTCTCTTTTATCTAGTAAAGAGTTTCTTAATTTGAGAACTTGTAGTTATGTGTACTTTAGTTCTTAGGATATTACTATACTTCGGGAATTCTGAGAATTGGAATTCACATATCTGAAATCCTCACTCAAGGTCATGAAGCAAGGCTGCAATCTGTGCTGAATATTTTTATAATGTTCTCCAGAACATCTTTAAGAGATCTTTCTATCTCTTCCTATCAAGCCTGTCTAATAAGAGTTTTATTAAGAGATGATCCTGCAAAACCAAACATTCAGAAATTAGCAATAATGCTTCTCTCATTTGAATTCTGTATTTTGTTATGTATAAACAAAGGAGGGTATTAGATAAGGAAATCGAGACGTCTCCTCTGGGACCTCTGACTCAGCCATAGCTCATAGGTGTATTTGCTGCAAGTTATAGGTGACCTATAGAATATCTGCTTTGCCCTCATTTGATCAGCCTTTGTTTTAGATATATAGATACTACCTGTTTCTGGAAGTAGAACTGACACATATCATATTAATTTCCTGACAAGCATAATGATCCAGTGGTTTTTCATTATATTATTGTTATTGTTGTAATTGTTTTTTTGTTTTTTTTTTCCTCTTTCTTCCAATGCAGTGAGGAATGACCCTGCAGTAAGAAAGAAGTTTTATCCTTTGCTAGCTCTTCTAATTGGAGGGCTGTTAGGATTTGTTTGGAAGTTGCACAAGTTGGTTTTGCTTGGGTCCAGAGAGGAGCAAAACAATTTATTTTGGGGCTAAAGAATTAATTTCCCTCCATTTTGGAGGCTTTAGAGCCCAGTTTGAAATGGTTAGGCATTGTTCTTTAGAAGTTAAATGGACACCTAGGCTCAAGCTTCTCCAGACTGGTGCCCTCTGGATATTTTGGAAGTGCAGTTGCCAGAATTCCCAGCCAACATGGCTGCATCAAGTTGGAGAAAGGCCACAGAGGACAACTGAAGGACCCCAGATTGGAGTAGGCTAGTCCTACAAAACAGTGAATATTTAACTTTGCTTCAGAAGATTTTTTTTCTTCCTCTTTATCCTGGTCTTCATTTTTCTATCTATCTCTTCTCTTTTCCAAAACACACTTCTGTTTCTCAGTGTTAAAGGATTAGATGCAGAATTTATGAAGATGAATCATCACATCCAGTATGAAGTTTTCCACTCGTTCCAACTTCCTTATTTAAGGGGATTGAATGCTAATGGTAAGAGAACAATGGTATATTTCTCGGTGTGGTCTCTTGATGGCTGATCTGAAGTACACCGCAGTGTAGTCACTGGGCTGGACCAAATGTTGGGCAATTGCAAGTTAAGCTAGGGCCTTTATTTTCCTACTCCTGGTGGGGTGGGAAGAAACTAATTCCCCTGGAGTTCTAAGTAAAAAGATGAACCAATCAGAATATACAGTGAAAAACTATTTTCCCAGGGTCTCTAGAATGCTTGCAGTAACTCTTATTTACTCTTATTTATTTAATATTTATTTAATTATAAAGTTTGCTTGCCTCCCATCCTATATCCAATGACAATTGGTGCGAAGATCACTCATTTCATTCAATATTAGCTCTAATTGGGTGGGAATCCATGTTTCTCCTGTGTGCTGCTTGCGGAATCCAAGCATGGGTTAACTTTGTCCATTAGCCTAGAGACTGAGTTATGTAAA